GTGTGTGTGTGTGTGTGTGTGTGTGTGTGTGTGTGTGTTGGATCCATATAATGGCATAAAATACTCTTTGGAAACAAAAAAGGAACAAAATACTAAAAAATGCTATAGCATGGATGAATCTTAGAAACATGCTAAGTGAAAGAATCTAGACACAAAGAGGCTAGTGGTTCCATTTATCTAAAATGTCCAGATAGATAAGTAAATCAGTTGTTTTTTAGGGACAGTGGGGAAAGGTGAATGAGAGGTAGCTACTAATGGCTATAATATTTATTTTTAGGGTGATAAAAATATTCTGAAATTAAATAATGGTGATGGCTATGCAACTTTGTGAATATGCTAAAAATCACTTCATTATACAATTTAAAATGGTGGATTTTAGGGTATTAAAATTACATCTCAATTAAAAAAAGAGAGAGGGGCGCCTGGGTGGCTCAGTCGGCTAAGTGTTGACTTCAGCTCAGGTCATGATCTTGCGGTTTGTGAGTTAGAGCCCCACGTTGGGCTCTGTGCAGACAGCTCAGAGCCTGGAGCCTGCTTCAGATTCTATGTCTCCCTCTCTCTGCCCCTTCCCCAGCTAACACTCTGTCTCTCTCTCTCTCTCTCTCAAAAATAAATAAACATTAAAAAAAAGACACACACACACAAAGCAGAAAATAATATTTGAATCCTAATACTATATTCCTATACAGAATGAAATTAGGGTTTTTAAAGAGAAAAAAAGAAACCAAAAAGTGCTGGATGGATCTTCAGCTCTGACATTTATTAGCAAGTCATTAAAACTCCATGAACTTCAATGTTCCCAATATGTTAAATGTGGATGTTAATATCCTCCCCACTAGGCTGGTCATAAGGAATGTATGTTGCAGTCAATAACTACTAACTAATCTCAAGATTATTGTTACTTTGTACTATCATCAGAAACTGGAAGTGGATCAATGGATTATGGTTCTGGCCCAGGCATTGGTAACTCCACCCCACATATTTCCAGTATCTGCACCCCCTAATTTACACATGCCCTACTAGTTAATAACATAGAAAAGCACCCTTGTTCAGGATCATCACATAGCTAATGGCTCCCATGGTACACTTCCGTAGGCAATTGGTGTGGCTAGAAGACTAGGTTAAAAGGTTTCTTCTATATACTATGCAGGTACTGAATATAAAGGGAATCATTTCCTTAGATTTATGAGAAAGGGGTGAAAGTCTGGGGCTGTGAAATATGAAGCAAGCTGAAAAGGCTAAGCACATATTTGTCTATTTTGCTTATAGATCAAAGTAAAAAATGGGGAGAGAACACAGGCTATTTCAATATATGCAGCAAAAAGATATGGGGGTAGGGACAGAAGATACTTAATCAGAGTTGTTTCAGGGGAAAGAAAAAGCCAATGAAAAATTAGGCTAAATTTAGAACAATATGATCTATGAGATGTCTGACCAATGTCTCTGGAGAAATATAGAACAACACTGTTCTTTTTTTTTTTTTTTTTTT